ATAAATTGGCAATTAAAGTGAATTGTTAGGAATCTAAATTTAACCAAAGGCTCCTTAGAGAAAAATTACCTAGGTAGTGCCTCGCTCTCTGGATTTCTCCTAGTTTATTTTTTAATTGCCTAGTGACAAGGTTTATCAACCACCAAACCAATCAAGCCACATAGTCATATAATGTAAAGAAAAATATATTACCTTTAGTCCTTAATATAAGAACTAATTTGACTTTTAATTTAGTTCTCAATATAAGACTCCAATCTACTTTGTGTTTTATATTATCTATTTTTTTAAAAGCAGTCCTTGTTACGCATGTTAAATATTCTATTAAATAATAATTTTAGTTAATGCACATAATTAGCAAGGATATTCTAAGAAAAGACAAAACCTATTTTTTACAAATAACTAACTTAACTAATTTCCTTAATCTTTCCAAATTAGTCTGCTAGGTCTTATATTAAAGATTTGAGGTAGTATACAACAAAACAAATGCAAGTGTCCAAGTATAAATAAACAAGTGAAATTCAATAATTTCAAGTAAAATTCAGCAATTTACAACAAAACTTTGGCGATCTATAAGTAATATAATGGAATTCACAACTCTAACTGCAAATATTTAGATATGAATGAACAAGTAAAATTCAAAGATTTACAACAAAAATTCAGTAATTTGTAAGAAATATAAAGAAATTCACAACCCTAAATGTAAGTGTTTAGGTGTGAAAGAGCAAGTGAAATTCAAAAATTTACAACAAAAATTCAGTGACACGCAACCCAAATTCTGTGATTCTCAAAAAACATGAAGAAATTCACAACTCCAAAGTTCAGGTATAAATAAAAAAGTAAAATTTGATAATTTAGAACAAATATTCAGCAATTTATAATCAAAATTTAGTAACTTACAAGAAACATGAACACTTAAATTTGAGATTGTGAATTCTTTTATAAGTTTTGTAATGTTTATGTTTCTTGTGAATTGCCAAATTTAGGTTGTAGATTACTGAATTTCACTTGTTCATTAATATTTAAACACTTATATTTGGTATTGTGAATTCCCTTATTTTTTTGTGAATCACCAAGTTTGGGTTGTGAATCACTAAATTTTTATTATAAATCTTCGAATTTCACTTGCTCACTCACATCTAAACACTTGTATTTGGGGTTGTGAATTAAATTATGTTACTTGTAAATTACCAAATTTATGTTGTAAATTGTCAAATTTTGCTTGTTCATTTATACTTGGATAGTTGCATGTGTTTAGTGTTATGTGTGTGTGTGTGTTTTGGTGTGCCAAAAGGTCACAAGTTCAAACCCCGGACACCTTATTTAAAGAAAAAATCCTCTGGCCTCTAGAGCTCCGACCTTAGGTGCTAGCCACCTAAGCACCAATGGCTGAAGCTCCAGCAACAATTAATATTTATTTTTAAAACAATAAAAAGGAAGGGTATTATTGTATTTTTATCCTTAAATTTTAATTTCATTTTGGTCCAAGAGGGTTGGCTAAACTTTTGAAATGTTTTGAGAGTTGATTGATATTAATTAGCTACATTAGTCCTAAAATAAAATTTTCCCTATTTTTAATTCCTTAAACTTGATAGTATTTATCTTACTAAACAAAAAATGCTGACTCAATGATTTCAAAATGACAACTCATCATTTAAAATGCTAACATGTTAATTATTAATTTAAAATATGTAATTAAAAAAGTTAAAATAAAACGTCATTAAAGGTTCCATCGGACACAATTATTTCTTATGCCAAATTTTTTAATATGGTTTTATAAGATTTAAATTTTCAAAAATATAATAATTTAAAAAATATCTTAAATTATAATTTTTTATTTTTTAATTATCAACTTTTAAAATTGCTATATTGGATCTAGTATAAAATTTTATAATAATGCTAATCCTTAAAATCCTTAAAATAATTATAATTTTTGAATGTTTTAGCATAAATTTTTAGAATTGATTAGATACTTTTTTCAATGATAAAAGTGAGAAAAAATTGTTTTCCCTAATTATTTAATTAAATACAAATTGTTGATGGAAGTAAAGTTCTATTTTAAATACTGTTAGGATTAAGGTTTTGATGATAACAAAGTAAATAATTTGTGTTTCAGTATGTTGATCGATCATCTGATCGATCAAGGATTTATCGATAAGCTGATAGATAATATTTCTATACAATCAAGTAACTTAGCAGAAACTTTGATCGATAACTTGTTAGATAATGTGTTGATCAATCAATTGATCGATCATTGTTAACTTAGTTAGGTATAAGAATCTGGAGTAAATTATCGATCACTTGATCGATAATCAGGATGATCGAACATCTGTCGGATAAAGGAATACAAATCTAATAAGCATTTATCGATAACATGATCGATAAACTGATTATCGATAAGAAGACAGATAAATGGTAACGCATTCAACTCACTCTATGTTTTGCTTTAGTCACTATTTATTGATCAATCATTTATCGATAATATGATCGAACATTGCTTCATAACTCTGTGTACAGGTAATTATTTCAGTAGCTTATCGATCACCTGGTCGATCAGCAAATTATCGATCACATGATCGATAATCAGCACATCGTTTTTAAGTCATGATTCTTCGATCACGGGATCGATAATCTCATTATCGATAATATGATCGATCACCGCACTTCATGTTTACCTTGTTTTCACATAACGTGATCGATAAATCAGTTCTTTGATTTTATAAGAATAAACCTCTTTATCGATAACATGATCGATCATCCATTAATCGATCACCTATTTGATCAACCTACATAGCCTGTGTTTTCACTGAATATACTTTTGCTTATTGTTTATCGATAAGGTTATCCATCTCTATTTATCGATAATGTGTTCGAAAATTAGTGCTTCAAAATCTATTTCTATAACACTTTGTTTATCGATAACCTGATCGATCAACAAGTGTTCGATTACTTGTTCGATCATGAGGCGATTTCAGTTTAAACTTTAAATAGTCACGATGTTTCTCAAAACTTATTATCTATTTCATTCGAGCTTTTCTCAGCCTTCATGATTGTCTTAATTCTCTATTTAAGGAGTTTCAAAATCAAAAGTGACCTTGATCTTCTTCTTCTATGCATACCAGTATGATGTCACTATTTCCTTTTATTGATCACTTGATCGATAAATCATTGATCCATCATTTGATCGATAAACTTAGTTATCTGTTTCAAAAGCTCTTACTCTGAATAATCGATAACCTGATCGATCAAGCAGTAATCGATCATCACTTCGATCAAGCACGATCAGTTATTACTCAGCACATTTAACAACTGATTGATTCTAACCGTAAACTATGAATGTTCATTTTATCATTTGTTCGGTTATACTTTTGATCTTACTCTGCAAAGAAAAAACTTATTGAATCAATGTATTATTGCAGATTACGAAGAAAAACCCGACGACTCTCCAACGATTGTCCAAGTAGCCTGTAACTTACCTTGTTAGAAGCATTAATGGCGGAAACCGTTGCAACTGGAAAAACACGCAACCGGACTCTCAACGGCTAGAAGTTCTTCCGTCTAACGGTTACTAAATTACCTCAACTATAAAAGGCGCGAAGAAGCATTAAATGAACAAATTGAATACGCGAGCTACCTTCTGTTGATTATTTACTATTGCATTCAATACTTTGTTCTTCCATACACCGAGTTTCATTGATTATCATTTATTCACTCTGTAAAAGAGTTTACACTTTCATCATTAATCACGTCTTGTGTGATACTCAAGAGTGTGAACTCTTGAGTGGGTTTGTAACCTTACGGGAAGTAAAGGGAAGTGATTGAGAGTATCAATTACTGTACTGAGACACCAAGAGCTCGATCAATCTTGGAACATAGTGTAATACTTAGAGGTGTTCTAAGAACTGGACATTGGTCAAATGGTTGAAACCGAACCAGTATAAATTCTGTGTCCACTTTTCTACAGTGAAATCTCTCTAATTCACACTCTCTATTTCCATTAGAACATTGTTTTAATTTCGCAAAATTTTTACAACTCATCCAATTCACCCCCCTTTTAGGTGAGACTGCCACTAACAAATACTTTTGGCACACACATGTTTAATTAAAAATTAATATGTAACCATTTAAATGTTGAGTCATTATTTTAAAAATAAGTCAGAATTTTTTGTTAGTTTGGTTAACAGTGTTAACTCTAAGGGGCTAAAAGCACAGATGTAAATTTAAATGACCAATGTGTACTTTAGCTTTTTACAAATTGTCTCTATTTATTACATTTGTTACATATAAGCAATTTATTTTATCCTAAACACACCCAGGTGGCTTCTTCATCTGGCAACCCGTTCCATTAGACCAAAACCTCTGTTATTATCCTTCCTTTGCGCATCCTCACTCTTTTATTCGACAAAGTTTCACGTTGTCAAAGTATAGGTATCTTTACTTAATTGTAGGATCTAGACAAAGTTTAACGACACATGGAAGTCAAGGAAGCTCTAGCTTGTTTGCTATTGAACAAAGTTTCCTTGACTCTGTAAGGCCCAAAATAGCTGGGAATAAGTTTTTGTACCTATAAGACTGTAGCTTCAGGAATACCTACTGCCAAACTTCGCAATCCTTACCTGAACTCTTTGCATCAGCCCTTTGCTAAATTCTATTAGCCGCCCTACTAGGATGATGACTTAGAATAGCTCACACTTCATTTAAAAACCTCCACCCATAGCCTCAACAACTTTATAGTGTTACCAAGCAGAAGCCAACGAACCATGCACATTCACTCTTAATTCGTCTATTTTGAGACAAAATCCAGCAAACAGCTCACTTGCTGTGAGGATAAGTTTCTTCCTGTCTCACATATAAGATGCCTTGAAAATACTATCTCCAGAGATAGTATTATTATAATACTATCTCCGGAGGTAGTAACAAAATCTAACTATCCGATAATAACCCTTCACTTGTTGCACCAAGTCCTTTCACCCAAATAAATAAATTGAACAACAAAAAATAAATAAACCCATGTCAATTCACTTCTCAACCATAACTCAACAAATATGCACGCGTTAACTGAACACATTTCCTTCCCAATACAGAGCACTATCACGCGGATGTAAGAATTTTCAAAAACTAAAAAGAAACTACTCAAATTCCTCATCAAATTCAAATTAACAAGTGCAGTGAATGCTTTGTGCCTTTTTATCAAATATTAACCTAAATAGGCATGAACAAACCCCAGAAAACTAATGTTCATTCTTCATCTATCACTAACACCAAATATAGTGCGCTATACTCATAATTCATCGCAGGAAAACCATTCAAATACTCCTCTAATCTTCTTGCAGTACAGTGCCTCTCTCACTCACATAGATTCCATCAAGAAACTTGCGTATATCCTTATTCTTGACATGGCACTTTTGGTTAATCAGAGCCGCAGAGCGAGAGACCAGCTCCACATCATTTCCATCCAGTACAAGCTCGTCCTTCACCTTTTCAGATCGTACAATAGAGACTCCCTCAAGCATGTCCACTTTCCTCACCTAGCAAAAGGGAAACCCAACACTAACATCAGGTACAATCATGTAATCCCAAAGTCAAGGACAACATCACAGTCACTAGATAATATATGCACACTCGCGTCCTCAGTATACGAGACAGATAACTAATTTGGGCTTAATATCTAAACCTGCAATTTTCCTCAGGACTAGGGCCCTAAACGACAAGTTCAGACTGCAACATTACAGAGCCAGAGTCAAGAAAACTAAGGAAAAATACAACAGATGTGAAGCAGAGGAATTTTCATTTGAGAATACTTCAGAGACGGGGTGATTCATAACAATTATACAAAGTGAACAACTGGAACAATGCAAAACCAAGAATTAAATTCAAATGTACCAGAAATCAAACTAAGAATCAGACACGAAAAAGCAAATTGATCGATTACATTGATCACAACGAATCGTAGATACTAAAATCCCATTCTTTGACGGTTACCTTTTTACTCTATAACATTTAAGAGTAGATAGTTAATTCATTGTCAAATCAGAAGAGGGAAAGTGAAGAGTACCTTCTTCTCGCCAAGGAAGTTACGGATCTCAATGGACCTGTTGCTGTTAGTTATGGATGCGTTGATTGGGAAATGTGCATACACGAACCTCATCTTATAACGGTAGCCTTTCGTGACGCCGGTGATGAGATTTGCAACGTGACTGAGAGCAGTTCTGATGGCGGCCGAAGTCTTTCGAGACCCGAACCAGGCATCAACCTTCAGCTTTTTCTTGCCTTCTTCGTCGGTGATCAGCTGAAAATCCAGATTCAGGTGCTTGAAATCACGGACAAGCTTGCCGCGAGGCCCCTCTACCTCGATGACCTTGGCGTGAATCTTCACGGTCACGCCGTCAGGGATATCCATGGATTCGGATGACAAAATCGTCTTCATCTTCCGGCGGCCTCTTTCTTCCCTACTGGCTCAACAGACTGCTGCACACTGGGAGCTCGGCCAAAACCCTAGAGCTTTTGGTTATATGGATGCCTTTTCGGGCAGGTCAAGGGTGAAAAATAAAAAATAAAACATAAAATAAAAAAATAATAATAATAATCCTCTTTCTTTTCAGAATCAGGGAGTGTTTGGATAAAATCAAACCATAGTTTAGAGAATAACTTTTGAATAATAGATTTTAGGAAGAATAGATTTTGTGAAAAAGTGATTCTGAGAAGTGAGAGTGTTTGGATAGTTGTTATCAGAAACATTTTTTATATATACAAATTACTAAAAAAAAGCATAAGTTAATATGATAATTACATAAAAAATAGATTTTATGATATATTTTAATTTGAACGAATAAAATTATTAATAATATATTTTTTATCAACATAATTAATAATACGTAAGATAATATAATTAATAAATAATTAATACGTGTATATATATTTAAAAGATATAAGATTAAATATACTTATAAAAAATAATTGAGGGGTGTTAAAGTTATATTATTGTTGAGATCTACTCTCAGGCTCTCCCTTGTACTACATGTGAAACAATGAGAAAGAAATGAATAAATGGAAAGGGTATATCCGTCTAGGCAAAAAAAAAAAAAAAAAGACATATATCCCATAGGTTCTCACACTCTCCCTTTTTCCCCCAAAAGCAGAAAATTTTTGCTTCTGCCAAAACCATGGTTTTGGCTTTTTTTTATGGTGTTTGGGTGATTTTTCCCCAAACCATGGTTTGGGTCATCACCCAAACACCCCCTCAATTTAATGGACGGCCAAGATAATAATTGAGTCAACGGCGTAGATGAGACTATATATTCTAATGGATCGAGCAGTTATTATTTAAATATAATTAATACTCTTCGAGTGTTCAGCATAATTTATAGAGAAAATGACATTAAGGTCCCACAGAAGAGAAAATACTGCAAAAAGGTCTCTTCAAATTTGATAACTACGTAGGAGTCCCAAAAGGACTTGGTTGCAATAAGACAAATCATGAAAAGACTATGTTGTCCCTACTAAAATGAAATTTGATTTTGAACCCTATTCCTATTTGCACATTGCTATCTCAGTTTCATCTCAAAAACCAAAGCTATCAACCCTCATCAAAAGCAAGAAACCTCAAATTAGTTTACCTTCACTGTAATCATTAAAGATTATTCAGGTATAGGGCATCATTGAAGCTGTTTATGGTTGAAACAAAACTGTTGTTATCAGCATCTTGTGTTCATCCGTGTTCTTCATTTATGGCAATGTATTCCTTTTGTTTCTTTGCAAATTTTTTGAGTTTAAAATGTTATACTAAGACCTTTGGGCTAGTGATTTAAGTTGGGGTTTCATTATAGGTGGATAGGATGATGATGGGTGCTCTGTTTTTGGTAACATTGTGGGTGGTTTGCTCTGTTTTAGCATGGTTTAGCATGAAAAGCTGAAGAAGATGAAAGTTGATGTGGGTAGAAACCTTTTTCTGCGAAATGGGATATTGTGTTGTCAATGTAGGCTACGAAAGTTGTCAATGGATGCTGTGATAGTTGTCAGTAGGGCTGCTTCACTTGTCAATAACACTTGGACGATTGTTGATGCAGGTTTACATTACTGATAGCCAGTACGTCTGGGAAGCATTTATTTTGCTTTATTCATATAGAGGATAAGTTTATAAATGATAGAGAAAATGATATAAGATATATTGGAGGTAGTGCAAGAACAAGTATAAAAGAAGGGACAAGTTATGAAGAGTGTAATTGAAACTGGGCATACCGATTGTGCCTGTAAAATGGCATTTTATATTGAAGTCATTAAATGTTGTGATAAAAATAGTTGATGAGACTTTGTTTACAATTTACAATGCCACTGTTGACAATGTAATGTAGCTGATTGACAAGTAAATTATGAAGTTAATACCTATGGACTAGTGAACAAGTAGTATTATTGTTTTGTATTAAATTCATGGATAATCTAATTCCATGTAGCCTATCATATTATGTGAAGGTGTTATTTATTTAAAATTTTTAATTAAATTATGTTTAACAAAGTAACTCTGAAAATGACATTAAACAGTACAAAATTTAACAATTTACAATGGCCTTATTAACAAGTCAACATGTGGATATTAACAATTGATATTAAAAACTTTCAAATAGAAGGTGTCATTTATTTAAAATGTTCAATTAAGTTATCTGTAACTTAAAATGAAAATAATAACCAAAAGGTATAACCAAAATTTATGTTAATTGGATACCAATTTTTCAAAATTTGACAAGTGACAGTGTCACCATTGACAAGTCATAGTTCTACCATTGACAAGTCACAGTGTAGTTGTTGACAAGTTTCATAACTCTCAATTCGTCACAGTGCCCGGAGCAATATGCTGCAGCCTCTAAAGTAGAAAAAAGAAGAGACATTCTATAATAAGCATTGCGGCGCTTGGATGAATCCGTCACGACACCTGGATGAAATTCTATGCCCTTGATTTCATGGTTAATAAGTCACAGTGTGACCATTGACAAGTCACAGTACTATCATTGACAAGTCATATTGTTACTGTTGACAAATCAAATGGTAATTACGATTTATTGATTTTTTTTTTGTAAGTTAACAAATGTTACATTAGTCCAGAGAATATGTCAATATTAAATGACACTATATAACTTGAAATCACATTTTTTTAAAATTTATATCTGCAGTTATATTAACAAGTGATAGTGTAACAGATGACAAGTGACATTATCACTATTAACAAGTGACGGTGTAGTTATTGACAATTCATTTTGTAATTTTATATCAGTAATGATACACTTTTAATAATGATTATATACAATATTATAACCAAAATGTAATATGTCAGAGTAATTGAAAACATCTCACGATGCTAAAACCCATTATATAATTTGAATTCACGTTTTAGATAACTTACATCAGTAGATTAATTGACAAGTTATAATATAAGCAGTGACAAGTCAAAACAGGTCTATTGACAATGCAAGGTGTAATAATTACAACTCAAATAACAACAGAGTCTAACACATCAATTTATAGCTAACTTTTATTTACACCTTTGTATACATGGAACTACACCTATTTCACAACCCTTCTAAAAAAAAACCATATGGGTTGCATGTAATTACTAAACGAACTGTTGGTGTGTATCCATTTACAAAAAAATATCCATTCACACCCATTTACAAAATATTCCTTTCACATCCATATATAAAAAATAGCTTATTTCAATATGTTCTCTGCTGAGATTTGGACTCTTGTTAATATTGCACTTCAACTTATCAATCACAATTGAAGAAGCTAAATTTGACCTTCCTGAGTAAGAAATAAGCAAGTTGTCATGTGCATGATGAATGTGTTCACTTCTATGTACTCTGATGGTTAAAAACACAATATCTTGATGTGCTCCCATCCAGTATGTATCCATATACCATGGACAACTATCAACCTTACACTTCATAATGATCTTTTGTTGATTATTCTTGATAAATTTGTACAAAAACTTCTATGATATGTTCTACTTGTATAATTTTATTCTTGCACTACCTCCAATATATCTCATATTATCTTCTTTATCATTTATAAACTTACCCCTATATGAACAAAGCAAAATAAATGCTTCCCAAATGTATTGGCTATCATTAATGTAAACCTGCATCAATAATCATCCAGCTGTTATTGACAAGTGAAGCAGCACTACTGACAACTATCGCGGTATCCATTGACAACTTTCATAGCCTACGTTGACAACACAATATCCTATTTCACAGAAAAGGTTTCTACCCACACCCAACTTTCATCTTCTTCAGCTTTTCACACTAAACCATGCTAAAGCATATCAAAGCCACCTACAATGTAACAAAAAACAGAGCACCTCTCATCATCCTACCGATCCACAATGAAACCCTAATTTAAATAACAAACTCAAAGGTCTTAATGTAGCATTTTAAACTCAAAAAATTTGCAGAGAAACAACAAGAATACATTGCCATAAATGAAGAACATGGATGAATGTCACACCTTACTTATATAATATCTTAGAATCCATTTAGAATCCTTTTTGACCACATTGGATGGTCTTGAGCTCAAAATCTCCTTTAGGACGTTACTTTTCCGAAATTACTGTTCACTGTGTAAATTTCAGATTACAGGTCTAACTTTGAAAAATCATAACTAATTCTATAAAAATCATGTGGAGGTGTTCTAAAATTCTACGAAAAGACCTTTCAATGCCATTTAAGGAAAAAATATCCAATTGGACTTATTTTTGCCCAATTAGTACATTTAATCAATCAATATTACTGTTTATTTCGTAAAATCTGAAACTTCTAGATTCTGTGACTAAATTTTGGAAATTCATATCTCCTTGTGTACACATCCAAAAGAGGTGATTTATCTCTCATTTTAAAGCTTGGAATATGTACTATGAGTCTTCCAAAACTCGTGACTTAACTCATTCGTTTGATAGATCAAACTGAAGCCCAAAACTAACTGCTGTAGGACCTACGTTTTATCCCTTAACTAACTTTTGCATTAATTCTTTTAATTTCTTTGACATGCACAACATGGGCTTACTCTTTTCCATTCATACTCATGCACTTTTATTCATGCCATAAACATTATAAACACACACAGTGAATTGATGGCACTCATAACATAAATTTACAACATAGGAGAATTATACATTGAACATAATCTTAATCATTAACGTCAATACTTATCCGCTTTCTTCTCCTTGCTTCTCATGCCAATAATGCCCATTGATGATTGACCTAAATGGTTGGTTAGGGAGGGGTGAGATTTAGGAGAATCTCAGTAGCAAGCAATATCATATTAATCATGCTAGATGGATGCTAATGCACTACACGTAACTTGTTTATTCTCTTGTTAATTAGTGACATATTAGCATGCTCAAAGCTAACTTCTTGATGCATGGCCATGGAGACATAATCTACTCATCATAAATAGCAATTACAGTAGCTAAAACATGTCTCAATAACATTCAATAACATGTACACGGCAATA